TGTCAACAATACGTTAAAATACACGTATTTCACGTGTATTTAACATTAAATACATGTTTGCACGTGAAAAATCAGCCATTAAATACACATATTCAACACGTATATAATGTGTTAAATATGTAAACAATCATTTTTCTCCATTCATGCCTTTTTGTAAATAAACACATTAGTGGGCATTCTAGCTTAGCATCAAAGCATTAACATTTGTCTGGGGAAATCAGTTACACTGCAGGTAAGCAATCAACGCAGGTTTAAGATACAGATCATTGTAATCAATATCTGTCTTTGGAAAACAACATGAGCTTTTATTGTGCTTACATTTGCAGCTATCGCCAGCAGGTGGCGCTTATTGAAACCTCTTTTTGTTCACGCACTCTAAACTACCTAAACAGTAATTAGGTACACAGGTGATATTATCCATTTAAACGTATTTAAAGACTTAAAGTATTTAGATATGGTATTTAAGACTTTATATAAGAATTTCAGGATGAGAATAAGAGCTTGTACTCGGGTCCGGACAGGTATAAGAACTTGGTTTGGCTTTCCTGACAGCAGAAGTATTCTACTGAACTAAAGTCCGAGGCCACCCTGAAAATTGGTATTAAAGCTATTTATCTGTGAAATTATGAGGTAATTTGTTAAAGCACTTCATAACATTTAAGTAAACATAAACATAAAATACTAAGTAGCTCTATATATAGTTTATACAGTATCTGCAAGTCACCTGGAGTGTTACTGTGAAGCCTATTGAACACTTCATAACAGCTAGAATGAATTTTATAGCCGCTTTTGTGGGTTTATATACTGGTTTAGCAATGTGACAGACTTGACTGGCTTACTGAAAGTATTAAAAGGCTAGGACAGAAGACTTGTACTGCAAACTGCTCAAGGACCTACACCATGAAGGTAGCTGAACAAACTCAGGGTTACAGGAATAGTCTTGAGTTGGCAAAAACAAACCAATGCAATCAGGCTTTGTTGATGCTCATGAACTTTCTCTGTCAACTTTGACCTTAAAGCTATTAACCAAACACCTGCAACAACTCAGTGTTGGCTTTGTTGACCCGCCACCCCAAACCTAACCAGCAGTTTACTCAAATAGACTGTGCTATTAAAGCTAACTCATCTTACTTT